TTTTCACCTGATGGCTGACTGGAGTCCTGTTTGGGTTTCTTCTCTGCTTTCAGGAAGGCCCAGTTAGGATATCCACATTGCTCTAGAGCCTGTCTTGTGAGGGATTTCTCCTTCTGCCTGGCTCCCGAGCTAGTGGGGATGCTGTCTGCTCTGTGATACAGAGTCCTGATGACTCCTAACTTGTGCTCCAAAGGGTGATGGGAGTCAAACTGCAAATACTGGTCTGTGTGGGTGGGTTTGCGGTACACCTCGGTTTGCAAATGTCCTCTATCAGAGACTGAGACCTCACAGTCCAAGAAAGCCAACTTGCCATTTTTTTCATCTTCTCGTGTGAACTTGATGTATTTATCCACAGAGTTGATGTGGTCAGTAAAATGTTGGACTTCCTGAGAGTTAATTTTAACCCAGGTGTCGTCAACATACCTGAACCAATGACTTGGTGGTGTCCCTGAAAAGGACGTCAAGGCTCTCTTTTCTACCTCCTCCATGTACAGGTTGGCAACAATAGGAGAAACTGGAGACCCCATAGCACACCCATGTTTCTGCCTATAATATTGCTCCCCATATGTGAAGTAGGTTGACTGTAGGCACAGTTTCAAGAGTTGACACAGTTGTTCTGTGGAAAGCGTGGTCCTGCTGTTCAGAGTGGGGTCTGATTTTAATCTTAAACTGACCACCTCTACTGCATCATCAACAGGAATGCACGTAAAGAGTGATGTGACATCAAAAGAGACCATTGTTTCATCAGTCTCCATGATGACATCCCTCACCTTATCCACAAAGTCCATGGTGTTCTGTATGTGGTGTTCTGAGCTGCCAACTAAAGGGATGAGTACAGATGCCAGATATTTGGAAACATTGTAAGTGACAGAGTTAATCATGCTAACAATAGGTCTTAAAGGTACACCTTGTTTGTGGATTTTAGGTAAACCATACAGACTAGGTGTGGCCTCCCCTGGGTTTAGTCTGTGGTACAGAATACGGTCAATAGCCTTGTCCTGCTCCAAATTTTTCAGGCAATCTATTAACTTCTTCTTGTAACCACTTCCTGGATCTCTTTTCAGAGGTTCATAAGTGGTTAAGTCACTAAGGAGTGTCATAACTTTCTCATGAAGGTGAAAAGGAGGAACCCAGACCAGTGGTCATTCCGTATGTTGAGGGAGTATCAGAGAAACTGAGACGTTTATTTTCTAAACATAACATCCCAGTGGCTTTTAAACCGCAAAATACATTACGGCAAAGACTGGTTCATCCCAAAGATCCAGTTCCCCGGCACAAACAGAGTAATGTTGTGTATGCTGTTCAGTGTCAGGAGGGCTGTGATCAGTCTTACATCGGAGAAGCAAAACAGCCACTGGCCAAAAGGATGGCCCAGCACAGAAGATCAACATCATCAGGCCAGGACTCTGCGGTCTACACTCATCTCCAGGCCAGCGGTCACTCTTTCAGGGATGAAGATGTTCACATCCTGGACAGAGAGGAACGATGGTTTGAGAGAGGAGTAAAGGAGACCATCTTTGTGAAAAGAAATCATCCATCATTAAACTGGGGTGGAGGCCTCCGGGTTCAACTGTCCCCCTCTTACAATGCTGTGATTGCTAGTATCACTCAGCCCTCTGTGAGTAGTAAACAGCCATCAGTGTGCTAATGACCCATTGTTAGGCTGATGGTCCTTCTTGAGCATGTGATCAGCTGGTTTTGGTTGTCAGCAGCAAACTGGTTGATCCACTCTGAGAAGGTGCTATTTAAGAGACTGAGCTGAAAACAGCACCTCAGACTGAGGAAGTCTCTTGGATGAGAGACGAAACGTTTCTAGATTTTTTTGCTTTGATTTGTTTTTTGTTTTTTTTGAATGTCCAGAGGACCAAATTGAACTTTTTTGGATACATATAAGTATGTTGTTAAAATTAGTAGGTTTAAGAGTTTAGAACATTGTGGACTTCGTCTCTGCAGGGTAGGTCTGCAGAATCAGAACCGAGTCGGACAGGAAACAAGCTGAACCGGAATCGAGCGGAACTGAGAGCTGTTGCTGTTCTGCTGAGCTGGTGAGTAAAATTTTGTAGCTACACATACAGTACTGTAAGTATGCTGTTAAAATTACGTAGGTTTAAAAGCTTAGAACAATGCAAGAGTGTGGGAAGGGTTTAAAAAGCCTTAAAATACATATAAATACTAAAGTAAATATAATGTCACTAATTTACAGATTTTCACTTTTTGCGGGGGGGGGGGGGGGGGGGTTGTAACGTAACCCCCGCATAAACGTCGGACTACTGTATGCGAATGTTTCTGTTCAGTGTCCTGAGACGACTTCTGTTGTGACTTGGCGCTACATAAATAAAATGAACTGAATTTAACACTACCCGACAATAAATAAATAAACAAAACTATATGTCTAACATGCTGGCTATTCGTCTTGATACATGCTCAATAATCCAAAATGTTTCAACAAAAAACAGTCTGTCCAGAGGACCTGACTCAACCTAGTCAGATTCTGACTTTTGTTTTGATAAAAGGCTATTCTGAACTTAGTGTTTCCTTCAATTAACCACATTTAAACCCTTTCTTTTTGCCCCTACTCTAAAGGTTAAAGTGTGTAAAGTTGAGTGTTACAAAATAAAAGTGACAGTGTGGCAATATTGTCTTGTTGGTAGTTAGAAGAGACTTACATTAGTAGTCAGAGCCAGTTTCTCTGTGAGGTGCTGTTGGGGTTAAAGCAGCAGACAAACAGAAACTTAGAGCGCGCACACAGAAACAAAATCCAGCCAGAATTCAAATCATGCAAATGTTTACTGACGAGGACAGAGTATATTAGATAAGACCTGCGGTCGTTTAAACAAATCAGCACTTGCTACATCAAAAACCTTTGTCGCATTTGAGACAATCTGTGCAGTTAATGTGTTAGCTTGGTGCTAAGTGAATGAGCAGACAGGAGGAAAACATGTCAGCTTTAACCAGTGATGTCTACATGCATTGATAAATGAGTGCTGAGTTCAGAATGAACAGAATGTAGAAAAAAAAAAAAAAAAAAACTAGCAATGTGTAGCCTGTTAATAATTGAAGCATGTGCAGAGGATGACCCTCAGACACTGAAACGTCAAATTTTAGCTTGAAAAACTGAGTTCTAGACATTTTTATGTTGACTAAAGTCAATTAGCTGTTGTGGTTAAATAACATTAAGCTACTTTAAATTGCACACGCCAACACAGTGGCGCAACTGGTAGAGCTGCTGCCTCTCAGCACGCAGGTCAAATCCCGGTCCGTGGGCCTTTCTGGGTGGAGTTTGCATGTTCTCTCCGTGCATGCGTGGATTTTCTCCGGGTACTCCGGTTTCCTCCCACAGACCAAAGACATGCATGTTAGGCTGACTGGTAACTCTAAATTGTCCCTAGGTGTGAGTGAGAGAGTGAATGGTTGTCTCGTTTGTCTCTATGTGGCCCTGTGACGGACTTGCGACCTGTCCAGGGTGTACCCCGCCTCTTGCACAGTGATTGCTGGACATGGACACTGGCGACCCCCATGACCCAAAATGGAAGAAGTGGGCAAAAGATAATGGATGGATGGATGGATGAATTGCACACTATCATACTGTATACCTAAAGAGATGCTACTTTAGCAGTTGTGCATGTGCCTTACCTGAGCCACACTTTGTTCAGTTAATGGGTTCTCATCAGCCTGTTATAAAAACAAAAACAAATTGTGTTTCAGAAAAAAATGTAAAAGAGAAACACTTCAGGAACAATGCATTAGGAAACAACAGAGCATGTGTTAAATGAACAACACATCAACAGTGTTAATAATATTAAGCACAACACATCCTGGAGTTTTTGGCCTGCTGCTCGTTGCCGGTTGTTATTCAGGTGCATCACAAAAAAAATAGAAATCTCGTGAAAAAAATAAAAAATAAAATTGTCAATCATTTCAGAAAGTGAAACTCATATTATATACCAGTAGATTAATTTTACAGAGTGAAATATTTCAGCCATTATTTCTTGTAATTTTGATGATGATGGCTTGCAAATAATAAAAAAAACTAAATTTAGTGCATCAGAAAATGAGAATATTCCAGAACCAGCTGTTGGTACCTTTGTCAGTGTGGGCCGGTGTTGAGTCCTGCTGGAAAATTAAACCAGCATCTCCATAAAGCTTGTCAGCAGAAGGAAGCATGAAGAGCTCTAAAATGTCCTGCTAGATGCTGCGAGGACTAAACCCAGTGGACCATAACCAGTAGAGAACATGGACCCAAACCATCACTGACAGTGGAAACTTCTCTCTGAACTTCAACAACGTGGATTCTGGACCTCTCCACTCTTTCTCCAGACTCTAAATATGCTAAATTAACTTTAATCTGAAAAGAGGACATTGGACCACTGAGCAACAGTCCAATTCTTCTTCTCCCCAGCCATGTAAGACACTTCTGGTTCAGGAGTGGCTTGACTTGAAGAATGTCACATTTGTACTCCATGTCTAGTATTTTTATGTGCATAGTGTATAGTGTGCATGAGTTTCCAAAATGGAACTTTATCACTTTATTCCAATTTTCCGAGTAATTGACTTTTGTTTTTTCATTATTTGTAAGTCATAATCATCAAAATTACAAGAAATAAAGGCTTGAAATACTCGATGTGTAATGAATCTATGAGTTTCACTTTCTGAAGTCTTCTCTGCCAAATCGCCACCTTAATGTGGCAGAGGGGTTTGAGTACCCCTACTCCTGAGGGCTATGTTGTCTGGGGCAATAGCCTCCGGTAAGGTCTCCTATGGCAAACAGTCCTCAAGGGAGGGGTCAGACTAAGAGCGATTCAAAAATCTTGATGGATCAACAAAGGCATCAGGATACCTTGCCTGGAAGAGGGAAACTGGGGCGCCTTCGTGGAGCCAGACCTGGAGGGGAAGTGGGGATCTCACCGGCGGTCATGCCAGTTCTCAGCAGCATAGACTGGTTGGCAGGGGACTGCTGGCATGGACTGAGGATATTGCTGAGCGGTGGGAGGAGCACTTAGAGTATCTCCTAAATCTATCCGCCATGTCCACCTTTGAGGAGACACAGCCTGAGGACTCGGGGAAGATGAGTTTATTACCATGGCAGAGGTCATCAAGGTAGTCAAAATCTCCTCTGTGGTAGGGTGCCTGGGGGGATGAGATTCACCCTGAGGTTGTTTTCACACGATAGTCCAGTAGACTCGGTTCGGTTGGGGACCAATATTCATGACATTTTGTTCACATTTGAGCTGGTGCGTTTGCATTCACACTGCACTGTGCAGTCGAGCCAACCTGTTGAACCAACCTGTTCCCCTGCTCGCCTGTGGGGGTGCTGCACCTAGAACTACTGAAAGAAACAACACAAAAACCTCTGAAGACACTTCTTCTTCTGGAAATAAAAACAAAAACGGAGTGGCATCAAGTTTTAGCAGTTTTAGGAGTAATAGTTTGTCATTTTTCAAAAATGGACTCAGCATGAGCAGAAGATGAGGCAGAAGACCATGGAAAATATTGTTTTTCACACAAGGCAGCTGACGGCTCCATATAAGGTAAGTTTGCCCTGCGCTGTACTCCACTTCTTGCTTGTGGAGCGGGGCCCAGTATGTTTACATTCACACTGTACTCGAACCGCGCTGGAGTTCTCTTCTAATGGACCGAGACCTAAGTTTTAGCCCGAGCCAGAGTTCGCCTTTTTGTTCCGTGACAGTGTTCGATGGCACGTTCACACCTCCCCAAACGAACCGGACTTCATAGGAAAATGAGCTAGAGTTCGATTAAAGCAGACTAAACAGGGCTGGCGAGAATGCACCCTGAGATGCTGAAGGATCTGCATGTTCTGGGGCTGTTATGGTTGACATGTCTCTTCAATATTGCATGGAGGACTGGGACAACGCTTGTGGAATGGCAGACCGGGGTGGTGGTTCCCATTTTTAAAAAGGGAGACCAGAGAGTGTGTTCCAACTATCATGGGATCACACTTCTTGCCCTCCCCTAGAATGCTTACTCCAGGGCATTGAAAAAGAGGCTCTGATCAATTGTCAAACCACAGATTCAGGAGGAACAGTGTTGTTTCCACCCTGGTCATGGAACAATAGACCAGATTTTTACCCTTGCCAAGTTGCTAAGGGGGTCATGGGAGTTTGCTTCTCTGGTCTACATCAGTTTTGTGGATATGGAGAAAGCTTATGACCATGTTCTGCAAGGCATTCTGTGGGGGATGCTGTGGGAGTATGGGATACTTGCTACTAAGGGCTATCCGGTCCTTGTCTAACCAGAACAGGAGCTGTGTCTGTATTCTTGGCACAAAATCAAGCTTGTTCCCATTGTGAGATGGACTCTGCCAGGGCTGTCCTTTGTCTCCAATCCTGTTTGTGGTGTCCATGGAAAGGATCTTAAGACACAGTTGGGGAGAGGAGGGTATCTGGTTTGGGAACCTCAGGGTCTCATCTTTACTTTACACAGATGATGTGGTTCTGTTGGCATCTTCAGGCCAAGACCTTCAACTTGCACTGGGGTGGTTCACAGCAGAGTGTGAGGCAGATGGAATGAGTCAGCTCCTCAAATTCTGAGGCCATGGTCCTTACCCAGAAACTGATGGAATGCCATCTCTGGGTTGGGGGGAGGCTTTGCCTCAGGTGGAGGAGTGTAAAGATCTGTGCATCTTGTTCATGAGCGATAACAGGATGGAGCGAGAGATGGATTGACAGATTGGGGTCTTGTCCTCAGTAATGAGGGCATTGCTTTGGTCTGTCATGATGAAGAAAGAGCTGAGTCAAAAGGCAAAGCAAATTTACTGATCTATCTTCGTTCCAACTCTCACCTATAATCATGAGATTTGGATCATGACAGAAAGAACGAGATCCTGGATACAAGCGGCCAAAATGGGCTCCCTTCACAGGATGGCTGGGCTCAGCCTTAGAGACAGAGTGAGTTGCTCCTTCATCCTGGGGGAGCTTGGAGAAAAGCCACTGCTCCTCCACATCGAAAGGAGTCCGTTGAGTGGTTCAGGTGTCTGATTTGGATGCATCATGGACAACTCCCTTTACAGGTTGTCTAGGCATGTCCCACTGGTAGGAGGCCCTGGGGAAGACACAGAAAATGCTGGAGGGATTGTAAATCTTCTTTCACCTGGGAATGCCTTGGGGTCCACCAGAACGAGCTAGAAAGTGTCGCTGGGGAGAGGGATGTTTGGGTTTCTCTCCTGGACCTGTTGCCTCCATAACTCGATTACAGTTAAGCGGTAGAAGATGAAGATGAAAAAGACTTTCTGACGTGACTAAATAAAAAAATTGAACTTTTTCATGATATTCTAATTTTTTGAGATGCACCTGTAAATGCCTGTTAGTAACAACACTAAGTCTATTTGGTGACGTAATAGTTATTTAGTTGGTTTATTTAACAGGGACAGTGCACACAAACATAGAACAGAACAAGTCTGTGACTGATGCGTTGCACAAAAAGTATATAGCTACAGGTAATGCACAACTCTAGTCCCTGGTTGGGCATTTCTATGCATTAAAATACATACAATTTATCAATCAAAATACAGTAAGAGTACCTACGTGCTCCTGATATACTCCTAATACTAATATTCCTGTAATCAACCTAACAACCTCCAATTTCATATAATAAAAACTATACATTAAAATACAAACAATTTAAAAATCTAAATACAATAAAAAAAAAGCAAAACATTTTCCTCTACAAATTCTAAAATAACTTTGTAACCCACAAATTTACATAAATATCATAGATAGATATCTTTATAAAAATGTGTTCTACCCCAAAAACAAAGTCTAAAATTAAAAAGAATAACCATCTTAGTAGATGTTGTGGGAGTCCTGCCAGCAGAGCATGGTTATCTGAAGGAAAAACTAAACTCGGTCATTAAACCCAATGTTATGTCATGAAGTTTTGCAATTATCAAAATCTACAGTTCAAAAATGGTTAAATACTAGACAACACTATTAGAAATACTTGTCTAATACACTGTATTATTATACAAGAGGAATGTCACTGTTTATAAACTAGACTGCTATAATACTGTAACGCAGTGACTGAGCGTCAGCATACATCAACTAACTGCAAATTTAAAAAAAATTATTTGTAATAAATATTCTGGCATATATCCCATTAGTTTACACACCTGTTTCACCCTTTTAATAGATACAATCTTTATACTAGCTAAATGATACCGAATTAGTGGGTAGATAGACAAAAGCTCAGTTATTCATGTCTAATTATTGAAGTAAATGGTAAATGGACTGTACTTATATAGCACCTTTCTATCTTATTTCAAGATACTCAAAGTGCTTTACACCACAATCTGTGCTTCATTTACCCATTCATACAGCACTCTGCTAGATCTCTACAAAGCTAATTGAACAAATCATTCTAATGAGACTAATCAGTGCTTTAGATCACATTCATACACTGATGGGACACACATCAGAGGCTATGAGGGGTTCAGTGTCTTGCCCAGGGACACTTCGGCATGTGACAGCTGGTGGAATCAAACCCCCAACTCTCGCATTGGAGGACGACTGCTCTAACCACTCAGCCACAGCCGCCCCAAAGTGCATGATGTACAATGCTAAATATGACCTGATATATTAGAAAAAATACATTATCCTAGTTTAATTTATAAGTTTAAGTGAAATGAAGTAGCAGTAGCAGAGCTCTGGTTAGTGCAAGTAGACATGTAAAGCACTGTATTACTTAGAGTACAATTACTGTATGTGCTGCTCTAGCTAGAATGATAAGAGCACCTGGTAATTTTGTCACGGTAGCACATCCAATGCAGCATAGAGTGATGGATCCTTGCAAATGGGAGGAAGCAATTTTATCCGTGACCAGGCGCAATGGCACAGTCAGTGGGTGGACCATGGTGACCTTGGCTACCATAGATCAACCTTCTGCCACTGACCACCCAGTCATTTGAGAGAGAAAACTATACTTGTAAGCAATATAAGGTGGTCGGTTTACACACACACACACACTGTATAACAATGTGTGGCAGCAGCCATCTTGGATTTTGAGGTGGCAACCCAAATCTTGAACGGAATGTTTTTCACGCCTAGATGTAGCCACGCACCAAAATGGAAGTTGGTAACTTACTTATTTTTCAAGTTATCATGCTCACAACATGCAGGGACGGACGGGCAGAGGGTATTTCCAATTCCACCTTTCTGCTCGGGGGACAATAAGGCTCTTTCTATGCAGTTTTGGACGTGGCATACAGATGTACAGGGGGTTAATGTGTGGTTTCCACATGTGAAGAATCCACAGTAATACATCTAGTAAGATGGCAGCCATGAAGCTCAACTAAAAGTCAGTGGTCACACTCTGCATGCTCTCCCATCATGCATTTCCATCATCCGACTCATCCATTGATCCTCAGCCCACTCACTGTTTTTATCTCTATCATTCAGTTAGTCTCCTTTTCCTCTCTCACCCTTGGTTTGTCTGACTGTCTACAGCAGCTGGCTCCTATCTGTTTGTGCCTCTAGGTTACCGGTGATGTAATCAAACAGGACAAAACCATAGGCTGGCTCTGATATAAGCTGACACCAATCAGAGGAGGACCGACAGGGAGAAGGAGAGACAGAAAGGTGAGGCAGGTAAAAAAGGAGACCACAGTGAGCATAAACAGATTCATTCAAAATGAGTTCAACAGCTGTGTGGGTTATACTCCCACCAATAATGTTTGCAGTTCCTGATGTTACATCAACATTTTCAGATATCAGTCAGTCATCATACCCTGTAGTTGACTTTCTGTAGGACCTGCTGGGGGTCACTCTCCAAAATCACCCTGACAACAGAAAAAAAGCAATCAGGAAAAAGTTTTGTACACGTAAACTTGGGTTACTGATTAATCTGTCTTTTATAAATTTTATAAAATTAATTCACAAGTCTAGGATTTCTAGAAAGGAATGCATATAATTTGCTGCCTTTCATGCTAGAGTTTCATACTAGGATGATGTAATGATATTAAAGAGTTCTAGATGTTTTGGTTAAACCTGGAAAATTATGTTATGTATGATCGCATACAATATTATATCTTGCGAGATTTGGTATGTTGTGTGGTGATAACTGAGATCAGCTTCCACTACACTGAATTTTGGCCTAATTTCTGTAAATATACTGTTACAACCATTTTAATGTTGATCAACTTTAATTAGCTGTGGCAACAAACTTGATTAGAGTTGACTCCAAATGTTAATGAGTTGTAGATGTACAGTCAATGATTACTTTCTGAGAGTTTCACTAAAGTCCATCTGAGATCTGCCAACAGACAAGTAGCACTCAGAGTATGTGTTAAGCACAACGCTCAGTGTCAACCTCAACGATTTTTTTAGCTCATTACCTGTAAAATGGTCTTAATATAAACATGTACATGAAATGATTTACCAATTCTCATTTTAATTTGTTCTGTAAGTCATGAGTTATTTTGCTAACTGACAGAAACATTTGGCTTATTAATTAAAGACAAAGTTTTAAAAACAAATATGGCTTGACCAGTAAGCGGGGGGAGTTGTGGTGCAGAGGTTGGAGAAGGTGGGCCTGTGATCAGAAGGCTGCCGATTTAACTCTCCGGACCAACAACATCAAAATGTGGGTGGAAAAGGTGAAACACCCACACCTGCCTCCACCCTCATTTGCCCCACTCTGGGTCCTTGAGCAAGGCCCTCAACCCCCACCATCTGCTCTCCCTGGTGTCCTAGATAGCAGCTCTCTGCTCCACACAGAGGGCTGTGGTAGCTTGGTGGTCTGTCGTTGCATCAGGAAGGGCATCTGGTGTAAAAACAAATACCAAGTATTTGTGCGACTTAGTTCACTGTGGCGACCCCTGAAGAAGGAAGCAGCCGAAAGAAGAAAAAAAATGGCCTGATCAGTTAGCACTGAGAATATATTATGGAAATCAGTCTCAGCTATTACCACACCAACAGACAATGAAAGGCTCTTTCACAAGATGCCTCAGTTTGAGACTAAGACCTGTTCTTGCCGCCTCGGACCAAGGTAGTGAGGGGGGTGTTGAAGGCAGCCCATCTCTGGTGTGCCTCTGTGCCACTCAGAGAGTTAGTAAGAGAGCCAGACCGGCCAACATGTGAAAAAGTAAGCTGCGGCACTGCAGCTCAGTTATGTGATGAACTGATGACATCAATGTGTGACCGTCTGTTCACAGGACTAAACATATTTAATACAAAGAGGAATAGAAATGATGATGCACAGCTACTTTGTAGATAGTTTAAAAACAAATTAACCATAAAGAACATCACTGAAGTGAGTTAATTTATGTTTCGTAAGTAACACAAGTCCGACACATTTACTGAGTTGTAGTATGACATATGCAGGATATATTCATACATTTCGCGAGTTCTTCATTTTTCTGACTGTGTAAATGTCGTGCATTGAATTTAACAGAAATGTAACGAGAGACGTTATTTATCTTTGACCCATCAAAATGAATGCGGTCATTTATTTGCAGAATCAAAGTTTAACATCACACATTTACATTAATTTGGCAAAATATGAAAACAATAACATGGCTAGTTTCACAGAAAGTGGGCACAATACGGCGATTGTCCTCACTTCTCAGCAGAACAGCAGACATCAATCACACGGCGGTGATTGAGAACTTTGCTTCAGATATTTCTAAAATATCTGTAATGATTTTAGGAGAAAGGAGAGTTTAAGATGGAAAATGGAGATTTATCTTACAGAGAGATGTGTGAGGGAATTAATCTGTTTGACCAGAAACGTGCACGCTCCTTCAGTTCTCAGCTTGGTCACGGTACGCTTGGTCGAAGTAGAACTTTTACCTGGTTGATGATAGATCAGCGTCGGTATAGAATCCTTCCTTTGACTCTTTCAGCGTCTCCGTTGAGAACAGCTAAAATACTTCGAGAGTCGTGCGAGGTTATCCAAACAGAAGTTATAATTCCCAAAACCGTCTCTGGATTCTGGATTCCAATAGAAGCATTCTGGACGCCTGCGTTAGCATCCAAGAACTCTGAACTCTTTAACTCTCTTCAGAGAGTTAAAGTCTGGAACTCTTCTCCAGGAAAAACTTTCAAGCTCTGAAAACTCCCATGTTGAACTCATTCCAGAGCGCACCCCCACTGAACTGGGAAGTTGCCACATTTAAATGGGTCGACTTCCGGTTCATTTGAGAGCTTTCTAATTGGTCGATGGACCAGAACAGAGGTGTGGTTTGTGATGTAAGGTGTTATGAAAAGTCAAGGATTGTTTTAGTGACAGACAGAAAGATTATTGGAGAACTTCAGACTTCGTGGAGTCTCTACTCCTATTATCTGCTGTAAAAGTTAAACACGACATTTCTTTTCAGTAAACTTTTAGTTGACCGAACCTCGAACTCTAACACACTTACAAATTTGCTCATTGAAGACAGAAAATCAAGAAATGCATATTAACCTGATTTCTTCTTAGAATGAGGAATAAAAATCATTACTTACTGTTTATGTAAATAAAAATGAGTAGTTCTCTTCAACCTGTAAACATTGTTTGAACTAACACAATTTGATTATCAAAACATTTGTAAAATAGTAATGATCATAGAGAATTGTCTTTTCTACTTGATTAATTCAAGAAAGAAAGTCTCAGGATGGGTCAAACTGTATTTCTGGATGCAGATCAATGAAATAACAGTTTCTGTCCCACAAGGTTCTTAAGGTCAAGTGTTTTGACCTTAGGCTTAGTTTGACATCAGGTTAGGTTCACTACAG